GTGGGGCAAGATCTGGAAGGGCAGGTGAACTGTGGTTGCCCTTCTTGGGACAAACAGGGGAGGTTTTGCTAACCCTCCCTGCTGCTTCTACCAGAAGCAGAGAAATCATGCACCCCCTGACCAGGGCCAGAGTTGATGCGGGTCCGAATGGCCAGAGGGAGGAAGTCTGCACTTGAACCTAGCCCACATGGCCTATAATTCCTGGTGGGAACATCATCCAGACAGATGAGGACATTTCCAGAGACAGCCTGGGGTTTAGAGGCTCATAAACATTTTTTTTTTATCTTATTTTCCCTCTCACAGGGGCCTTCACAGAGTTAATGATGGTCCCATAGGAGTGGGACCATGAACAAGGACACAGAGCTGATATGAAGGCAGCCAGGGTCAGGCAGAAGTGAGGGACCTTCAGTATGGAGATGGACTTTGTCATTCCCAAGGGGCTACCAGAGTACTGTACTTTGAACAGAATTCATAATTCACTTTAGAAAATAAGATGTTCTACCCCCAGCATCTGAAGTCTCCTTTCAGAACATTAGGAGTGTCCTCCAGGTACAGTCCTGGGCTGTGTCCTTGCTCCTGTCTCTGCTGACATTTGGATCCATGGTGTAGGCAGCCTCTAGGATTTTCAGCTTTGCAGCAGGATCTAATTTCGAACTCACACTTCCCAGAAGCACAGGGGGAGAAGTAGGAGTCATTTTAGAACAGCAAAAACCAGGTGGGTGTGGTCTGCAGGGTCTTTGGGTCTACCCTGCCCTCTCTAGCTCAGGCAAAGGACAGCCAGGGGGTTACTGGGTGCTGAGAGTTGGGGAGAGTTGCACATCTGTGGTTCCCGAGTGCTTGGCACAGTGCCTGGCATACAGTGGGCACTTGCAAAACACTGCAACGAATCAGACAAATGGATTTGACACACCACCTTGGGGCTGACTGCTGCAAGATGGGGATTCTGGGCAAATTACTTTACCTAGCAACTTAATTCCCATCTGTAAAGGGTGGATGATGACCACAGTTCACCCTGGTACCTAGTTTCCGTTTTTTTGTTTTATTTTCTCTGACTAGTATGTTTTAAAGAAGGAATGATTAAGAAAACATACGGGGAACTCACTTTGTAAACTAGAGTATCCATCAAGACACATGTAAAGGGTGGAAAAGTAAAAAGCTGTCTCTTGTGTGGTTCCTTCTCAAACACGACCATTAATCATTTTATTGGGACAGGAGGTTCATGAATTCAAAGCCAGCCTCAGCCACTTAGCAAGACCCTAAGACAACTCAGTGAGATCCTGTTTTTTTTAAAAAATGTATCTATATAGAAAAGGGCTGGGGCTATGGCTCAGTGCTAAAGTGCCACTAGGTTCAATCCTTGGTACAAAAAAAAAAATTGGCCAAGAGTGCTACATTGTCTCATTATCATTCTTCCATTTTAGAAGTAGGCAATCACAGTTTATAAATTATGTGTTTCCACGAGAGACGATACAGCTGCTTTTATTAAGAATGAAATATGCAACTTGCAAATATTTTCACTTTTCCTGATTAGGGTCCTAGAGCAGCAGCAGGCTGCCTGAAAACACGAAAAGTTTGTGTGGCTTAAGGAGCAGGCGGAAGTGGCTCCTGGGAAGAATCTAGATTCCAGATTAGAAAATATCTGGGGGGAGTCTAATGCCAAGTGGAAATCCCAGCTCATGTTAAAGGCATGAACTTCTTGCACTAATCCATGGCATGAGAGAATCTGGGGGGTCCTGGGTTCACAGCCTGCACTGGAGGAGGCCTCTGCCCTGTGGGAAGCCTGTTGAGATCAAGGTGCGCCCATGGCGTGACCTCAAGTCAGTACAACCAACAGGGCTGATGCCAGCGCAGGTTGACTGTGGCCAAAGCATCCACCATTAGCTTCCTCCATCATGGCTGGGCATGTATGAAAAACTGTGTTCCTTTTTAGATAAACAGGAATAAAGTGGTGGCCGTACAGAGGGGACAGATGGGGGATAGGACCAGGGCCAAGGCAGCCCTATGAAGGAGACTTGAAGGTCAAGGATGAGTAGATTGGACAAAGAACGCTGCCCTTGAGAGCCATTCCATTGCTCCCAGATTGTTACATGGACTGTTTTGTGTGGTTTCAGAAGGCACAGCTTGGGGTCATGGGATAAAAATTATAAGGGGGCCAACTTCAGGCCCCCCAGGAGAGCAAGAGAAATCCTGAAGGGTCCAAGAAGAAGAGGCTGTCCAGGGAGTGAGGAGCATGGTGGGAGCTCTCATCTCTAGAAGGGTCCAGGGGGTGGCAACCAGGTGGGGTGGGATGGGGCTGAGGCCAGTGAAGATTCTTGCAAGGTTACCAGAGAAACTGAGAATAGAAAGATCAACCACCAGGAGAAGACGAAGGAAGCCCTAAGGTTCTGAGAGACCACAGCACACTCTTTATGGAGACATCGGGGAAAATGTCCCCTGACTCCTCACTCACACAGGGACCGGCAGCAGTAAGGAGATGCTGGTGAACCTCACGAGAGCAAAATGGAAGGATGAGGTCCACCCTGCACCCAGCTCATACCACCCAAGAACAAATAAAGCGGGCTGGGGGGTGGCGTCCAGGTGGAGAGGAGCTAAAATGCACATAACCACACAACTCTCAAGCCTTCCTTTAGCTGCAAGAGCCATGTTGTTGTTGTTTCTCCCCCTAAGGCTCATGGAACTCCCCACTGCATGGAAGCATGACCTCCTCTTCTTTCTCCAGAGAAGGGAGTGAGGAGAAAAGGAATGAAAAGACAAGAAGGAATGCGGAGGAGGAGAGGTCAGTAAGGACTTGGCTGGTTGGAGGCTGTTTCTTTGGAAGGCTCAGCTTTCACCCTCTGACTTCATGCCATGTTACTATAGGGTCTGGCAGGCTGCCCAAGAGGCAGGGCAGTGTCATGGCAGGAGCACTCACTGGAAGGTGCTCTGAGGTCCCGTCCCAGCCCTGCCTGTGACTCTTGGAACCTGAGTGAGCTTTTTATTTTTATTTTTTTTCCTGAAAAATACATGGTTGGATTAGATTGTCTGTAAGGTCCTCCCCAGCTCTTGGGAACTGTGGCTTTATGACCTGAGGACATTTGAGCCATGGCCTGGTGGGTCCCAGAACCAGGGACAGGGTGAAGCCACGGCGATTCTTGTCTCCTGCTCCCTGGTTTCCTGGGACTCGGGGAACCTTGCAGCCCACTGGGTGGGAGAACTCTAGGGCGAAGGATGAGTACTGTTGGCATGGTGGGCGGAGAGGGAGGAGGGAGGGGAGTGGGGAGAAGCGAGGCGGCACTTACAGCAGGAGGAGATGGGTACGCTGATGGCCAGGATCACCCAGACGATGTCCATCTTGCTCAGGCAGATGGTGGTTCTGTGCTGGGGTTTGTCTCCTTCAGCCACGTGGGAGATGTTCCCTGCTGTTCCGGGCTTCCAGGTCCCGGCGGGGACCAGGCGGTTGAGGAAGTTTCCTGTGGCTGTGGACACCACGGTGGAGAGAGGACTGGGCACCCTGTCGGTCACGGTGGGGGAGGCCGCAGCCTCCTCCTCGGCTGGAGAAACAGTGTTTTCTGAGGCCCCGGGGGGACGGGCTGGGGCCTGTGGGGTTGTGGATGCTCCCTGAGGAATCCCCTGGGAAGGGGCTGAGCCACTGGCATCAAAGGCAGCCTGGGTGGACCCCGGGGCAGCTGGGAAGACCCCAGAGCTGCCAGACGGAGGTCTGTTGGTGCCAGGGGTGACGGTAAGCCAAGAGTCACTGTGGCTGGGGCTGTCCTGCGCGTCACCTCGGGGGCGTTGAGAAGGCACTGGGGCAGGTTGTGGACGGGCAGGGGCACCTGAGGTGGCGGTGGCGACCGGCTCCCCTCCTGGGCTGGTGAAGGTGGGGACACCCCCCTGGTCTGCTCTGCTAAGGCCTGGCTTGTCCTCTGCAGGCACCGCAGGGGTAGTGGGGGGTGCCCACGAGGTACTTCCGGATGCTGTGGTCACAGCCACTGTCTGGGGCTGTGGCGAAGAGGCGTTCCCCCAGGGTGGGGTCCTGGGGGAAAGGGCCAAGGGTTCGGGGTCCACAGACCCTGTGAAGTTGCCCTTGTAGATCTGGAATATCTTCCCCAGGGGTCGCTTTGGCCCCAGGTGCGTGGAGCTCTGATTGCGTCCTCGGTGGCCTTCTCTCCTCCCAGAGTAGCCGCCACCGGGGGCAGGTGGGACAGGGCGCGATGAACCCCCAGCCCCCTTTCGGGAAGAGCCGGGGGGCCTGGGGTGCCTGCGGGTGGTAGCCCGGGGGACCGCGGCGGTGGGCCGGCTGGTGACTCCTGTTGGCTTTGTCAGCAGGATGGTGGGGGCGGCCTCCCCTGGGGGGCGGCCCTCTGAATGCGAGGGTGTGGTTGCCATAGGAACTGAAGGGGAACCTGTGAGCTGCAGGGGCCTTTCGGGATGGGGGGTGGTTGCTGTCACCACGATGGTGGGAACAGTGTTTGTAGGAGGGTGCCCATCTGGATGGGCTGTCGTTGCCGTGGTAGCTGCGGCCTGTGAGGAGGGTCCATCGGGATGGGGGTTCAGAGCCGTGGAGGAGGGTCTTGTAGGGCTGTCGGATGCTGTCACCATGGTGCCTGGGGGACTGCCTGAGGGGAGGACCTGGAGAGATGCCCTGGGAGATGGTTCCTGGACAGCAAGTACCAGTGCTTCGGTCAGTGCCAAGGTCAGGAGGAAGCCTGGAGAGGGAGACAGAGAGGAGAGGTGAGGTTCCCGAGGAGCTGTCTATAGAGGCGCCCTCTTTACCCAGGACCTTAGGAAGTTCTGGGATTGCAGGGGATACGTCAGGAGCATTTTTGAGACTCACAGTGATGCACTGCATGACACTCAGGGGGACACAGAACCATATGTGCAGCTAGACATGGCTAGGAAGAGATGCCAGCACCAGGAGACCCAGAGCCAGTGGAACTGGCTGGACCATCCTTTCTCAAATGTCTTAGGCCATCAGCCTTTGCCTAAGGCACGGCAGGAGCTTCAGAGGCTGTGGCTTCCATGGTACCTTGTCTTCTACAGCTAAAGAGTGAGCAAGGCCAGCTTGGCCACATGAGCCACTCAGAACTGCATGAGGAAGGCCGGCTGGGCAGATCGAACCAGCTCCTCTTCCCTTCTCTGAACTGGACAAAGGTACAAATGTCGAGCCTCTGCTCACCAAGACCGAATCACCGAACAATTAAAGAGGGGCTACCCTCTCCTTTACCCTGAGGACCCCAAATGGAGCAGAGCAGCACCTGGCTCTGGATGAGCTTGCATAAATCCACAAACAATCCTAAAAGAAGGCAGAGGTGTCTCAGTGTCAAAGAGGAGGGACATAAGGAAGGGGACACTGGTCCAGGGAAAGGGCATTCAGATCAGACACCCATAAAGCACTTGATACAGAGTTTGGAATGGAAAACGCACTCTATACAAGCCAGCTGGCATTGTAATTTTTTGTTATTAGTAACAGCTCTTCCGATGGCACCTAAGTGGCTGAACTCTGAAAAATCTCCTGGGTGGTACCCAGTCTTTTTGAGTAGGAGGAGCCCTTTTGAACATTTTTTTAAAAAAATTGCATGATAGTCAATGTGTGTACTTTTTAGTTCATTGAAAAGATGCAAAAGATAAAAACCTATACATTTAAAAACATTTCTAAATATGCATGGTCTTATTAATCTTAGCAGCATGAGTCAGTCTTTAAAAATAATATCTCATATACACCGTCGGATCCCTCAGATCACAGACTGCCAGGCGGACTGGGCCCGCACGTGGGTTAGGAAGAGCTGGTCTCTCCTGCTGAGGAGCGGCAGACATTTCCTAGGTCCTGATTCTGACCTGCCCACTCCCCTATGAACACACTTCTTTGCGATTCTAGACTTTGGCCCCTGGACTAACTTTGTCAGAGCTCTTGTCCAGATTCCAGCAGGACATATGGTCAACGCAGGGGCCCCAAATGGGATTCACACACTGGCTGGGAGGGCCAGGAGCTGCTGACAGGGGCAGGGACCCAAAGCCCTGTGATCACCTTAGGTACGTGTGTAGACCCCTGTGCCTCTCACATGAACTTCTAAGTGAGAGGTGAAGGGTTAAGGAACTTGGGGTTGAGTGAAGGTTACCATGCCCATCATCCCTAGGACCATTGGTCGGCCCTAAGCAGCCTATTCTTTTAGGCATTCATTCATGGCTTCAATCATACATCAACAGAGCACCTGGCTTATTTCAGTCAGTCCTAAAAATGTGCTTGATTTAATCCTCACAACCACTTTGCACAGTGGGAAACTGAGGCTCGAAGAGATCATATCAGAAGTATGTGAAACCAGTTTTATCTCTAAAATGTATGCTTTTCCTGGTCAACTGCACCCATTAATACAGGAAGAAGAAGAGGATCTGAAATCACATCCACAAAAGAAACAATGTGTTGCTATGCTTGTTGGCTCTGTGTTATCTCAGCTCCCCTTCACCCAACCCCACACACCTTGCACCTTAGCACCAAAGGAACAGTCTTGAGGCTGATGGGCAATCGCCAATGTTTCATAGAATATTCCCTTAAAAGCCCCCAGGTTGTTTCATGAGTGACTTGGTTCGATATAAATGTTGTTAAGACCTGAATTGTGTCCCCCACCTTGAATTTATATATGGAAGTTCTAACCTTCAAGAATCTCAAATATATGTGACTATATTTGGAGATAATCAAGTTAAAATGAGGCCAATAGGGCAACTTTAATCTGGTCCAACTGGTGTTCTTCTAAGACGAAGAGATTAGAACCTATAGAGTGACACCAGGGGCTTTGTCTGCAGAGGGATGAAATCGTGAGGTCAAAGCAGAAAGTGTGTAGGTGGTAGGAAAGAGGCCTCAGGAATCCAACCCTGCTGCCATCTTCATTTTGGACTTCCTGCCTCCAGAACCTATAAAGAGGTATTTTGTTATAGCAGCCTAGCCAACTAATACAAACTAATACAAGCATTTGTCTGAAAAGGGAGAGACAGAAACTGGGGCTTGTGTGCAGGTAGTTTATATTGGAGGTGATGTGAGGTCATCCGTCGGGGTCTGAGATGAGTGAAATAGGGAAAAACCATCTGGGGCAGCTCTGAGATGATGGGGTGGGCAACTCAAACTCACTGGGTATGTCTGAGGAGCTGGGTATGCTGAACCCCACATTGCCTGCTTGGAGAATACTCACTCACCTAGGGGCTGTCCTCTACACTAGCCTGCACTAGCTGAGTGGGCCTCCCCTGCACTCCCTGGACCTCATGAGGCTGAGTCAGGGAAGCCTTGGGCCTAGGGTCTGACAGATAATGCCTGCCCTCAACTGGTGGGGCTGCAACAGCTGGAGCTTGCTGTGAAAGAGCAGCCACTCTGGCCTCCAGGAGAATTTTTTTCAGCACTCCATAGGCAGAGGGGTTATAAGGCCTAGTCTTCAAAATACTCAGGGAGAGAAATTGCCCTGACTTCCCCACTGTGAGCACTGCACAGTCTCAGAGCCTCCCAGCAGGAAGCCCAAGGAACTTGCTGGAACTTACTCTGTAAGTCTCTTGGCCCTTGCTGCTGCTGTTTTTCTGCATCCTGGAAGTTATAAGTCCTCTCTAGGAGGACTGTAAAATGACCTCTCAGCCACTTCTTTAATCTTTTTTTTTTCTTCTTCTTTCAGTACTGGAGACTGAACATAGGGGTGCTTAACCACTGGGCAACACCTCCAGTCCTTTTAAATTTTTTATTTGAGACAGGGTCTGGCTCAGTTGCTTAGGGCCTCATGAAGTTGCAGAGCCTGGCCTGAAATTTGTCATCCTCCTGCTTTAGCCTTCGGAGTTGCTGGGATTACGGGTGTGAGCCGCTGCGTGAGATTAGAGTGAATCCTTGATATAATGAACAGGTACGGCCATCATAGGCTTTTACCTGGAGATGACACTTGGATGTCACAATGAAGGGCCCTGAAGTTCACCTAATGCAATCCCTTCATTGCACACAGGGAGACGCTGGCGGAGGGGACTTGTTGGAGAACACACAGCTGGCTGGGGAGACCGCCAGGACCACAGGACCATGGGACCACGGGACCACGGGACCACGGCCATGATTTCAAAGCAACTTTTCAATTGTATCATAAAATCACAGCCCCAACATGCCCTTCCACCACCATTGCCACCTTCATTATGGAAATCAGACAGGAGTTCACCTCTCCTCCTTGGCACGAAATGTTAGCAACTGAATGTGATGCACACTGTCACAATAAACGTGCAAGGCCTTCAACCCGGGCTCCCCTAACACATGCAAATTTTCATTCAAGACCCTTTGTGCTGGCCTACACACTCCCCTCCCCACAATCTGGGGCTACTGCTGTTTTGCATATCTTTTGCATTGATTTGCATAATGGACTCTGGAGGCTCTAATTCCAAATATCTAAGAGAGACTAAAACGAAAATCTAGCTTGACATGCTTAAAATGTGGAACCAATTTTTAAAACGTGTCAGAATAAGGGTAGGTGTTGGGGATGGAAGCCCACAGATTGACAGATGCCCAGATGTCGCAGGAAGACTTCCTTCTTCCTAGAATTCCACTGCATACGTGATCTCAGGAGCCAAGGGAAGGAAAGGGACTCCTTCTCGTGTGTTTATTTGGTTGGCTGCCTGTACTCCATAGTGGGCATGACATTTGCATCTGGCAAAGGCAATTGGTAAAGAAAAAAATGTCTAGTATTGTTTAATACACCGAGCAATTCCTATGTGCCACGTACTACTCAAAGGTAACCTGCGTGGACATACTTAATCCTCTAGCAACCTGATGAGGCAGGTACTATTACTAGGTCCCTGTTACAATTGAGAGAAAGAAGCCAGAGGGGTAGAGGAACCCATTCATGGTCACACAGCTGGGGAATGGCAAGCTGGGATTCGAACCTGGGAAGTGTAGCCCCGGAGTCTACACTATCAACCACTTCACTTACCAAGCCTGCTCTGCTGTCCCACCCCTCTGCCCCCTCAGGATGCTCCGCACAGTCAAAAGTAATGATCTACAATCTTTGGTAATTATTTTCCCCTGCTGGTCTCTTCTCTCTTACCTATTTCCTTCTATCTTGATTCCAGGGCTTCATTTGACACATTTGATATTCTTTTAAATAATTTCATTAATTAGCTTTATTGTGCATGTATGGGGGTGGGGGTGGGGAAGCTTGTATCAGGACAATAAAAGCATCAGAAACCCCTGCTTTAATTCACTCCTCTTTCCCAATCCTGACATCTCATGCATGCCTTTGTTTGGGAGAAGAAAAATTACTTACATAAATTAAATTTTTCTTAAAATTGCTTTTACACACAGACACACACCATATTTGATCCATGGATAATTCATAAAAATAGAAAATCTATCTCATTTCCTTGCAATTTTAAATATCTTCTTGTGAGTAGATCCTCCTTTCACATTAAACTAAGTTTCTACTGCAAGATCTTTTTGGCTTTTTTTTTTTCCTTTGGGTACCAGGGATTGAACTCAGGGGCTCTCTACCACTGAGTCACACCCCCATCCCTATTTTGTGTTTTATTTAGAGAAAGGGTCTCACTGAGTTGCTTTAGTGCCTCACTGTTGCTAAGGCTGGCTTTGAACCTGTGATCCTCCTGCCTCAGCCTCCCATGCTGCCTAGGATTTCAGGTGTGGGCCACCACACCCAGCTTGGCCATTGCCTTTTGAAATCCCTGTGGCAGAGAATCACAGGAGTCGGAGTCATTCCACTTCAGTAAGCAAGGCAGCAGCTTAGCCATGCTGAATATTTGGTATGGTGTTTTAAAGTCACGCTTGCAAGTTCTCAGAAACTCTTCCACCAAGGCCCGGGGTTGGGTGGGGTGGGGGAGGAGCAGGGGGTGGCGGTATCTATTTTTCCTCCCTTAGTGCCTAGGTGGGTCTTTGTGACTGTTTTGAACAGAGTGCGGCAGAGGTGACATCACATGCTTACCATGGCTGGGGCAGAAGAGGTTACAGCTTCTGCATTTCTCTTGGGGAGTTTGAACTCCCATGTGAGAAGTCAAGAGCCCTCAAGGCAGGCACATGGAGTAGACCCTGAGGCACACGGCAGGAACACCAGAGAAGCCCCCACTGTCCCAGTCCCACCCAGGCACCAGGCCTGACAGTAAAGAAGTCTACAAGATGAGCCTGGCTCCTGGACAGCAATCACACAAGCCACCCCAGTGAGAACCTGCCTCCCTGAGCTCAGTCAGCCCTGAGATTCCTGAACAAAGAAATTATTTTGTGACTGCTTTAAGCCTCTTATGGGTATTTTTTTGTTTTTATTGGAACATGCTGGCTGCAATGGGTGGAATGGGTCCCCCAAAGATCATGAGTTGTTAACTTCCAGATGGGGAGGTGGGCCGGTGGGAGGTGTTTGGGTCATGGGGGCACCAACCTCATGCATGGATTCATGTCATTTTGGAGGGAGAAGGTTCATTAGAGCAGAAGACGGTCCTTTTTAAAGAGATGAATTGGGTCCCCTTTGATCTCTTCTGCCATGGGATAACCCAGCACCAGACCCTTACCAGATGCCAGTCCCTCCATCTTGGAGTTCCTAGTCTCTGAAACTGTGAGAAAATAAATTACCCAGTCTCTGACATTTTTGTTACAGCAGCACAAAAGGACCTAAGACACTTGGGACTTTAGCTTCTGCATGTGATGTTTGGATAACACAAGGAAAGAGTGTCGACAGCACACCAAGTCTGGCCATCAGGGAAGCCGTTGTCTACATGGGCATTAATATGAAACCTTGCCAGGAAATGACCTTTTCTAATTTCAAGCTCATCACCTTTTATTTGGTGATGAGCTCTCTTGGTATCATCCTACCGATGAGAAGGTGGAGGCCCAAGAAATTGAAATGACTTACCCTGGGCACTCAGCCACATTGGGGGAGGGCTGGGAGGGACAGTGGCCAATTCACTGCTGGCCAAGTCCACTAAGTTCCATAGTCAGAGTTTCTCCATTCCCTGTGGTTCCAGGATTCCTGTGTGCTCTGACCTCTGAACTCCAATGATTTCTTTTATCTTCAAGATTAAGTATAAACTCCTAGATCTTTGGAGCCTGGTTTTCCTTACTCAGAAATAAATATGTAGCCTTGACTCAGGGTGAGCTGAGTGACTGCTCTCAACAGGCATAAGCCATGCCTGTGACCTGTGACCTTGGTGCTTTTTTTTTTTTTAAATGGAACCAAAGAATTTTCAGAACCAATCTTTGTGGCTGCCTTTTCTATAGGGCCACATTTCAAAAGTTCCCTCCCATCAAGTCCTGCTAGGGAGAGGCCTCCAACCACAGGGCGGAAGGACAGAAGGTTCTGCTCCGTACTTAGAGCTAACTGGGGACATCACCTGGTGGGTTCCAGAAATGTCCGGAGATCACTGGTTCAACAGCTGGACTGATGAGGTCCATGACTCCACTGGGAACTGTTTCCCAGAGCACAATCTCTAGAACACATGCAAGAAAACCATGTGAGACGGGCCCGTGGGCCCCAGGCACACCCGTGGCCTCTGGTCAATATGAATCGATCCTGTGCTGCAGCTTTGAGTGGCTGACAGGTCACAGTGTGCCAACAAAAACACATACATGCACACACATGTGCCCACACTTGCAGCTCTTCCTTTCATTTCCCTGTGCATGCATTCTCTCTCTCTCTCTCTCTCTCTCTCTCTCTCACACACACACACACACACACCTCTTTTTTTTTGTTTCCTGGGAGCAAAAAACAAGTGAGCATGACACATCTGCAGCCTGAGTCCCTCCATCATCTCCAAGTTAACTCACTGCTAAGTCTAAGGCCAAAAGGGCCACCATGTGGCAGTCCTGGGATTTAAAACCAGGCTTTTCTGATCCTGGCTGCCCCAGATGAGGAACCCAATTTAATTCTGTCCTAAGATCGGGAGCCATCTCGTCACAAAGTTAATTCCAAACTCACCCATGTCTGGCTCTCCTTGACCAGATACTAACCCTCCCTAAAACCTCAGTGGGGCCTCATAAATTCTGATGTTGGAATCTCGATTTACTCCCTACCTTGAAATGTTAAGCCACGTAGCTCATTAACCTGCTATCTGCCTTTGTATTATGCTTGCCAGAACCCCGTTAGCTATAAGTTCCCAAGACACCCCATTTTGTAACTTTTTGTGCAATAAAATCTTTTTCCTGGAGAGCTGGAGTGCTGTTCTCTAGCCCGGCTTTGGGTGAGACAGTCTCTGGCCAGCTCTCTCTGGTACACAATATAAGCTTGCTTTAATTTGATTTAAAATTGTAATTGGCGGTCTTTCTTTGTGTCATGGTTCAACATAGAGATGCTGGGGACTGAGAAATATATATATATATATTTTTTTCTTTTGGGTACTGGGATTGAACTCACGAGTTTTCTACCACTGAGAACTTTTTTTTTATTTATTTTTAATTTGAGACAAGGTCTCAAATTAAGTTTCGGAGGCTGGCCTTGAACTTGTGATTCTCCTGCCTCAGCCTCCTGAGTAGCTGGAATTGCAGGCTATTTCTGAGCATTCCACTAACATGCTGGCCATGGATTGACAAATTTTTGATCTAGGAAAATGTCCTACATGAGCAGAAGAGTTATTGCTAAAGATAACAATAATAACAACCGTTAAGGTTTGGATGTGAAGTGTCCCCCAAAAGCTCATGTGTGAGACAATGCAAGAAGGTTCAGAGGAGAAACTATTGGGTTGTAAGAGTCTTAACCCAATCAGTGAATTAACCCCTGATAGGGATTAACCGAGTGGTAACTGAAGTGGTGGGGTGTGCCTGGAAGAGGTGGGGATTGGGGGGGGTGCCCATGGGATATATATTTGAAACTGGTGAGTGGCGACCTCTCTCTCTGCTTCCTTCCACCACACACTCTGCTACCATGTCCTGACTCACCGAGAGCCCTGAGGATCTAAGTCGGGACATCACCTGGTGGGTTCCAGCTTTCTATGGACTAAGACCTTGGAAACTATGAGCCCTCAAATAAACATTTCCTCCCGTAAAATTGTTCTGGTAAGATCTTTAAGTCACAGCAGCAGAAAAGCTGACGACCACAATAAGATTGTTATTATTGATGAGAACAACTATTATCATTGAGCATCACAATGTAAAATAACCTTTTCCTAAGTACACGCACCCATGAGGCAACTATGCTGCCTTTTCTCTTCAGCTTTCTCTCTCGGTCTTTTGACTTGGAATAAACATTTTCCTAGATTATTCTTGGAAGGGTTCCCAGGCCTCAGAGACTTTGTTAGGAATCCCTTCTGGGTGCTTGTGATCTCTAAGCTCACCTGTACCTTGGCATCTCACTCAATGGAAATGACCACGGTCTGGTCTGTCTGCCCACCCAATGTGAACTCTGTTGAAGCTTCCAGGACGGGGACTGTCTCAGGTTCAATGTCACATTTCCATGTCTAGACCAGCACCTGAGCTAGAACAGGTATTTGCTGAAAAAGAAGAAAACTCTTCAAGTCGCTCACCAGTGGTGGTGCTTAAAAATGGCCATCACTGTACATCTCAACCTACTCTTTCTAAATGTGACTTTGGATGAAGAGATGTCACCTGACTTGCAAGGCCAGGCCATAAAGATGATCAGTTTCTTCCTTGTTCTTGGGGTATTTCCTCTTGGATGCCAGCCAGCATGCTGGGAGGAAATTTGAGCAGCCCGGGGAGGGGCCCATGTGAAGGGAACTGAGGCAGGCCCCTGGCCTTCAGTCCAGCTGGACTATCCACATGACAGCTGGCACAACCTGCCAACCACGTGGGTGAGCCATCTCGGAAGAGCATCTCCCAGCACCCATCAAGCCCCCCAGCCTGGGTGAAGCAGAGACCTGTGACCCCTACCCAAACTGATGATCAAAATGAGTGGTTTCTATTGGTTTAAGCTGCTCAATCTTGGGGTGGTTTGTGAGGCAGCAATAATAACCAGAACGCCACCCACAGAGAAGTGAAATCAAAGCCCTTTCAGTGACCAGCATGGATTGAGACATCAGGGGACTTTCCGTGCTGGATATTTGAATTGGGTTTTCTTACTGTCCTTTCTCTTGCCCAGACTCTGGGGAAGAAAGACATCTTGATTCTGGGCTCTTCCCACAGCACCATGATGTGATACATGGCTATAGGCTCCCCTGAAGGAAGAAAGGAACAGGTGCATATGAGGAGTGACACAAAGCTCCTGGCCCAGAGGGGAGGTGGACGGAATAAAGCTGGAGGCTGGTACAGTACATGGCGCCCACAGACTGAAGGCCGTGGCTGCTGCTTCCCAGGAGCTACCCTGCAGGCACGGAATAGAATCAGCTGTGATGGGGATTGAGGTCACACAGCGAGGAATGAGATGGAGGTCAAGGTCAGCTTGGCCTCTCATAAAATGCACCAGGAACGTGTTAGTATTCAGGGAACATCTTGCTGACATCATGAAAAAGGACACAAGTGCTCTATCTTGCTGGCCCTGCCCACTCCCCAGCAGGAAGGAAGAGGCTCATAAAAGTGATGCAAAGGCAGGTGTGAGGTCAAGCGGGGAAGGGGGAGGGCATTGGTGCAAGGGGTACATTGGTGCAGGGGCCCTAGGTCTCAGTTAGGAGGAATGAGTCCTGCTGGTCGGTCGCACAGCACGGGGCCTACAGTCAGCAATGGGTGGCGTGTTTCCAAATAAGTAATAGAATTTTGAATGTTTTCACCATTAAAGAGAAATGATAGATATTTGAGGTGATGGATTTGTTAATTAGCCTGATTGAATCACTCCACAATGTAAGCATTATCAAAACATCACATCGCGCCCCATACATGAATACGATTATTATTTGCTGTTACAGGGTTAGATATGAGGTGTCCCCCCCAAAGTTCATGTGTGAGAGAATGTAAGAATGTTTAGAGGTGAAACGATAGATAGGGTTATAGGAGTTTTAACGTAATCATTAGTGCATTAATCCCTGGATAGGGATTAGCTTGGTGATAACTGTAAAGCAGATAGGGTGTGGCCAGAGGAGGGGGGTCCCCGTGGCATGCCTTTGGGGTACACACTGCCTCCTTATTGAGCAGAGCTCTCTCTCTGTTTCCTTGTGAGATGTGCTGAGCCCCCTTTTCTCTGCCGTACTCTTCAGCCATGAGCTGTCTCTGGACTGAGATCTCTGAAACCATGTACCCCAAATAACCTTTCTCTCCCCTGACTGTTCTTGTTAGATCTTTTGGTCACCGCAGTGAAAAAGCTGCTGATCTGCTGATCCACCACAAAATTAAACTTTAAAGAGAGCACTCCATATATTTTATAGAAGAGAATTTGACTGACAGCTACCTTAGTCAGGTGATCAAGGTCACCATCCACCATGATACAAAAATCATGCTGACGGGATAGAATTCGATCTGAAAATGGCATTCTGCTTTTTTGCAGCCTTTTCCCCCCCTCAAGCACATATCCCAGTATAAACCCCAGAAGGGGAGGAAATAAAAGCCCACATTGAGGGACAGTCTACAAAATACCTGACCAGTACTCTTCAACACGCTCAAGGTCATCAGAAATGAAGGAAGTCCTGGCCAAGAGCAGCCTAAGGAGACATGACAGCTAAACATAACTAACGTGGCATCCTGGGTGGGATTCTGGGATGGGAAAAGGCCATGAGGCAAGAACGAGGGAAGTCTGAACGAGGTCTGGACTTCCGTTCACGATAGTGCCTTCAGATTGGTTCATTCATTGTGACGAACGAACCAGAGGATGTCAGAGATGAATAACGGAGGAAACGGATCACAGGTATCCAGGAATACTCTGTACTGCCTTTTCAACTCTGTAGATTTAAAACTATTCTAAAATAAAGAAATTTTTAAAAAAATGCTCTATGGAGGTCAGATAGCGGGGACAACGTAAGGCCATCGCATGGGCTGGACTCAGAAGGGGACAGAACTGAAGCGAAGTTCATGGTTAATTTTCCCAGCAACCTGGAGTGGGACCATGTGCCCAAAGACACAGAGAGACAGATGAGGAGGGGCCTGAGTTCCTTCGTGCCCAAATGCCAGCTGCTGGCTTATGGTTTTTTAGCAAAGTGGCTATATTCTGGGCTAACCTACCTATGGAAAGGCTTCGGAACCTTCTAGGGAGAGGAAGGGGTAAAGACTCCATGTGTATTGCTGCATCTATTGATAATTCCCTGATTTTCATCTTTTTAATATTCTCCTTTGGAATCACAGTGTGGAGTCTGGAGGTGAAAGGGTCAGGGAGATTAGCAGCCTCGACGTACAGCTTTTTCAAACCCATTCAGGGTTAAAAGTTCCAACTGCTCACTCAGGGTCAATGCCATCTATGTACCATCAATAACCATGACTTTCTTGACCAAGGAAGCAGGTAAGGGAAAATTAGAGCTTACTCATCCCCATGTGCTCTGCTGCCCTGGTGCTTAAACATAGAGGCCAGATAAGGATGGGATATGAACACACCCATCCTCCTTCAAAGTCTCTGCCCTGT